GGAGTGGGCGGGGAGTGGGCGGGTTGGGCGGGGAGTGCTTGCTTAGCTCAGCTGACGGTGACCGTGTGTTGCTTTCTTCTTAGGGCGTTCCAGGAACTCCAGGAGAAAGAGGGCCTCCTGGCAAACCAGTACGTCAGCTAACTGTTCTGGACGAATTGCACCCGCCAGGGCTGCACCAACATTAAAATGCAGCTCAGACAGTTCAAGAGACTTGGAGAAGGGGCTTTTAGAAATCTGTGAGTGGGGGGCCTGGCCTGAGACGCGGTGAAGCCAGAGATGAGCCACCGTGGAAACCGTGACTCCAAGTTTCAGACCAAGTGAGAGCGAGGGCAGCGGGGGAGACTGACCGGCGCTGGGCTTGGGTCACTGCTGGCGCCAGCGAGCCTGGCCGGAGCAGGGGGCCATGTCCCTGCATTTTCCAGGGCGCGTCCTCTCGGTCCAGCAGGCCATGAGCCTGTCATGCATGCTGGGTGTGGACTCCCCTCCTGGCCGTGGAGCAGGACAGGGGCAGAGGAGAGTGGATTCTGCCTGGGGCACCGGCCACGTGCATTGCGAATTCCTGACTGGCCCATCCCTGCCCCTTTGCTCAGAGATGCCCACCCCGCCCACTTGCCCACTCCTGCCAGTAGCAGATCCCCTTTCCTCTCCCACAGTGAGAGAGGGGGAGCCGGGAAAGGCTGAGCAAGGACAGACAGCCCCAACGGTGGGGCCCATGGGTGGGGCCGGTCTCCCCAGGCCACACTCCTGCGGACTCCTGATCGTCAGTCCTCTGTTCACTGACCAGCGCCGGAGAAGACCAGGCATAGCTGGTGACCAGGCCAGGCGCTCACAGACGGGATTGTGAGGATGAGCAGGTCTGGGTGAGCCAGAGAATAGCTGTGCAGCTAGTGCAGGAATGGGTCCTCGGAGAGACACCCCCAGGACAGAAGACCGGGCGATCTCGGGTCTGAGAGTGAGGCCTGAGTCTGGCTCCAGGAGCCAACTCTCTGCTCGTCTGGGCAGATGCTTCATCTCCACATGGGTCTGAAAGCCGTCTGCTCCTTTGCTCCTGGGCCTGTAAGATAGGAGCCCACGGCCAGAGCCCTCAGGGCCCAAGCCCTGCACCCTCGCACACGGCAGAGACCTGCATGGGGTTCCTGTCTTCCGGAACCTTCCCAATGGGACGACACAAGGGCTTGCTGGGGGCTGGGGAGCACTTCCTCACCATCCTTGCTCCTCTCTGGAGTCTGCTCACAGCAGCCAAATGCTTGTCCTGCCTAAGGGCCCGGCCCTGCTGAATCGGCTGGAAGAATCGGGATGACCTCTGTCAAATCAAGGCATGAACACCTTGCTGCAGAGGGAATTAAGTCAGCAGTGTCCAGCTGGTCATGTGGACACTGTGAGGCTCCCAGATGGGTGAAGGCAGGAGGTGGGGGAGAAACAGACACGGAGAGAGAGGAAAGGGGTCTGTGTTTGAGGACTTTATATCCGCTGGCACACAGCCCCCATGACCACAGCCCAGCAGCCGTGGGGCCTCTGCCCAATCTCGCTAGTCAGCTGGGACACACTCGGGAGTCCCCTAGGCCACCCTCAAGTCCAGTGACTCACTAGAAGTTCTCACCGAACTCAGAAAAGCTGTTTTTCTCACCGTTACAGTTTATAGCAGTGCAAAGATGCAAGCTAAGGGCAGCCCAGGGAAACAAGGCTCTGAGCAGGTCCCTGAGCTGAGTGGGCTCACAGTTGCCCTCCCCTGGGGCCTGTCCCCAGCCAGCGGAGGGTCTCCGCATTGCCGCGAGGGCTCTCAGCCAGTCTGCGGTCTCCAGAGGTTTTACTGCAGCTCACATAGACCCTGGGCTGATAGCTTCAGCGACTCAGTCACTGGCCCCTGCGGAGGCCGCCCAGGCCACAGTGTCAGCCTTAGCAGTCATGGCCTGACTTTGGCCAGGATACTGGGTAAACAGACGCCTTCTCAGGGAGGGCACCCCAGAGCTTGGAGGTTACCGAGGGAGCCAGAGGAAGCACACCTCTCTTTGGAGGGGCTCTAGGTGCCCCAGGCTTCTATCTAGCCCTTAAGGACACAGTCCTCGCCCCTCAGTGGGTGCAGAGCAGGGCCTGGAGTGTCCACTGTGCTGAATTCTGGTGCCAAGAATCCCTCTGTCTGGAACGGTCTTCTCTAGAAGCAGATACTCTGAGGGGACTCTTGGGCCAATGATTGCTTGAGGGAGCAATTGGTCGCTCTCAGGTGAGACCTACGTGTGGAAGGGACACGTGAGTGGGGAAGGGGTCCCGCAGGGACGGGCCGCGGCCACCCGTCTCCACTCTGCCCCGCCGCGGGCCTGGCAGTGAGTGGGTGAGGCTTCTGGCCTCTGCTCCGGCAGCTGGTGAAGGGCTGCTGGGGGTGAAGGCCTCTGGGCACACCCTGCGTCTGTCTCCTCCAGCTGCGGACTTCCGGCCGCTAGACTCAGCCCCGCAGACTTAGACACGACCCGGCAGGCGGTCCGAGGGCTGAGGGGTGGGCACATCATTATGCTGTGTTCACCGTCAGCAGACGCCACCCAGGCAGACCCTGGGCCTGCCCTTGAGACCTAGCTTGGGAGATCTACAGAAGTGAGTTGAAGCAAGGAGCAAAGTATCCCCAGGGCCGCGCACCCCTACATTAAAGACTTACTCCTTGACCTCGCCCCTCGTCACCAGCTCTGGCCATGTGGTCTGAGCTCTGGTCATACCAAGAACTTGACCGACAGCATGACCTGGCGCCAGGGCCATTGTCCCATGGGCGATGCGAGCTCTCTGCTCTTAACTCCCCCAGGGAAAATAGAAAGCTTCAAAATAAATCCCTTTCCCCTTTTAATGTTTCACTAAATTGCTTTTGCAAAGGTTGCTTCTGCGGGGCCTCATCAGACTGCTGGGAAGTCTTTCCACTTTGGATTTAGCAAAGGGCTAGTCGTTCCTTCCGACCCCTGAGTCCGAGTCTCTCCAGCCCCAGAGTGTCTGGACTTTGTCCACTCGCGTGGCCAGAGGGCTGCCCAGTTCCTGGCCCCCGGGAGGTGTCGGGCTGTGCGAACACTGTCAGGCGTAGCTGTCTTGGGAGTTGACCTGCAGAGGCCCGCACTGCCAGAGGAGCTTGGGACGCCTGCGTGAGTGTGTGCGCGTGCATTCATTTATGTTTACTTTGACAGGGCGTCTCTCCACTGCTGTCTCCAGGGGACATAAATCTCTTGGTTAAGGTAAAAGCATGACATCGCTGTGCATGCCCTTTGAAGCTGGGATGGGGTCGGAGGTTGCATTTGTGGTGTTTAAACCAGTATCTGATTGCATTACAATAACATTTGTTGAGAACCGATCGCACACCAACTAGGTGCTAAATCCAGCCTAATATTCGTTAGCCGGCTCCCCGTCAGCTCACCTCCAAGGTTTAAAGTGAAGTCCAGTTGAAACCATAGGTCCCGTCCACTCCAGCCACTGCGTGACCACAGTGGCCCGCGAGGCTGCGGCCGCCTCCTGGACAGTGGGTGTGGGCCCTTCCGCCGGGTGCCACATGGCCACACTGGGGTGCACCGTAGCGTTTTACACAGCTCCCCTTGAGGTCTGTATGCTTGTGTTCCCCTCTCACACCCGAGGGACCGGCACCGTCAGAGCCTTGCTGAGAATAGTGTGCTCCTCGCTGACTCCAGGACAGACCTGTGGGCCCTCAAAGGCAGCCGGAAAGGAGGGCCTAGCAGGGCTGGGAGAGGCTGCAGGAGTGGAGGGCTGGCGCCAGCTGCCGGCCCCGGCGGGGCAGGCCGGGTGCGGGCATAGAACTAGGTCCGCTCCCCGCGGGCAGCAGGGTCCTGGAGGCGGCGTCCGTTCTGCCGAGGTGGGGCAGGGTGCGCGGTCGGCCAGGCGCATGACCAAGGACCGTGGGCCCCAAGCAAGACGTGGGACCGGACTTGTGTTTCCGAGAGGGGATCATGCCAGACGTGGGGTGGGTGTGCGGGGAGCCCTGCCTCTGCTCCCAGCCTCCGGCCTGGCTTTGGGTGAATCTTGGCGCTGGATTTTGGGGTCAGCCCTTCCTCACGTCCTGTGTTCTCAGAACTCTTGGGTAACGCCAGGAAGCACCCAGCTCACTCTTGGAGGCGAGAGGGGCGGGGCAGCAGAGCAGGCTGAGGCGCTCAAGGGAGCTCCCTTTCCTGACTCTTACTGAAGAGTTTCTGCCATGGTCCAGAGCTGACTCGCTATCACTTTGTATTGATTCAGGCCCGGATCCCTTGTGACCCTGTCTCTCTGGACACACCCAGGCTGGCGCCAGACTCTGTCCCCACGCCCACTCCAAGGCTGTGGGCCCCACGGTGCCCCAGTCCTGACCCCGGTGATGACAGGGCTGGTGCTCCAGGGCCCAGGTCAGGCCTGGCGGTGACTGCATTGGGCCGTGGGGTCCAGTCTGTATTCCTTAACCGCCCAAGGATGCCGCTGTCTACCCCAAAGCTCCTGGGGACCCCGAATGTGAGCACCCGCTTCCGGGCAGCGCCAAGAGTCCTAGCAGCCCTGCAGAAGGAACTCCCTGCCCTTGCCTGGAAACCTGCAGACAGCAGCCCGGGTGGTGGCGGCCCCGGCCAGCAGCCCACCTCCCGGGCCGTCCACTGCCTCTCAATGTCAGGGTACCACTGCTGCTCTGGCCTGCTGGCTGGGGCCGGGCCTCCCTTGCAGAGAAGGCATCCTTCACTAAGGAGCTTCCCTCCGCCCCAAAGGGCTTTATCACATCATAGAACGCATCTGACGGCTGGAAAGTGCTGGGCAGAGGGCATCTGAGGGCCCCTGTTAAGGGGACTTCTGTGGGGTCTGCATCAGAGGAGCCGCCTCTGGACACCTCCCGAGGGCTCCTTGGGGCGAAACGACCCCCCGATCCGCCTGCAGCAAGTCGCGGCTGCACTGCTGCTGCCTGTGTTTGCAGAGGGCAGCTGAGCGTCCAGGCAGACGGTCAGGCCCGAGACACGAGCCACCCGCGGCCAAGGGCAGCTGTCTGGGTGCGGTGCTGCGGCCTCCTGGCAGCCGAGCGTCGCCCCGAGGCGCTGCGGGCGGGGGTTGCTGTCTGCCTGGGCCTGGGCCTGCCGCGTAAGCTGCCCAGCCGTGGCAGCGTGCCGGGCGAGGAATCAGGGCCCAGACAGCTGGGTGAGAGGACCTGGTGGTCCCTGCTGCCCAGAGCTTCCCCCACAAGGACTGCGGCCCCCGCCTGCCGCAGCGCCCGAGCGCACGGTGTGGGTCCCCTGGCAGCAGTGTCACGGGACTGGGCCTGCCCGGGCCCAGAGAAGAGGAGGGGATGGAGAGCAGAGGGCATCGCGGTTGCCCCCGACGCAGGAGCCACGCCGGGCACTGCTGTCCGAGTGGAGCAACGTTCCTGAAGGAAGAGAAAGGTCCGTGTTAACCGATTAGCCAGTAGGCCCCAAGGGACTGAGGGGCCTCCGGAGATGGCGCTCTTGGCATGGACGAGCTGGGCCAGGGCTGGTGTCGGGGCGCCAGAGACTCAGGAACCAGCGGCCACGGCCATGGCCACTGCGCTCTGCCGAGTGCCGGGCACCTGCTGTGTGCTCAGCCTTGTCCTCGTCTCTCACCAGAGTAGGTCCCGTTGCAGCGACAGGCCACGGGTCAGAGAGGGCAGAGGCCGCGGCGTGACCTGGACAGAGCCACCTGGGTGGGAGCAGGGGCCTGTCTCTTTGCAAGGCCCTGGGGAGGCAGGAGGGTGGCCGCTGCGGCTGGAGGCCACTGCCCGCTGCCCCCTGCATTCCAGAGCAGGCCAGCCCCTCACCCGTTAGTGTGGGGGCTGCAAGTCACCGAGTCTGGCCCCAGGCCCAGCTGAGCACTAACCCCGTGGAAACGGGGGAGACGGCGGCTCGTAGTGAGAGCTTGCGTCGCTCAGATGGACGCCCTGTGTGGGTCCCCTGCAGAGAAGGGTGCTCGCTCACCACTGGTCTCCAGCAGGCTCACAGTGGCCAGAGTTCCTGCCGCCCGTCCCGCCCGCTGCCTGCGGGCGCGGTGTTCGTGGGGCGTCTCACTTGGGCCCCGAGAAAGTCCGGAACCAGGTGCCGTCCTCCTGCGGTGCCGCCTCCCAGGTCAAAAATGGCCGCTGCGAACCGGACCTCCGCTCATCCTCCTCCTCTTCAGATGTCCTGCCATTGGCGGTGCCCACCCTCCGGTCACCCCGGGAGGCCGGGGCAAGGCCGGGCTGGGCGCACAAAGGCACAGCCACGGCCCTGGCAGCTGGACCGGCCACTGCTCCGCCTGGGGTCGGGCTGGGGTCAGACAGACTGCATGGGACACACGTGCTCCCCTGGCGGGGACCCCGGGCAGGACCGCGCCCGTTTGCGGGGCGGGAGAGATGCCAAAGTAGGCGGCTTCCCAGGGCCTTTAAAAACTCAGTAAGAACAATAGGGTGGCAGCAGGTGGGTCTTTAGAGTCTGTCCTGTGGCAAAACCCCACCGTTCCGAGCTAAAGACCCGAAGGGGTGCCGCCCACTGGCGCCTGGGGGTGCAGGGGTGCCTCTCCAAGCCCCTTCGTGGCCCCCAGTCCAGCGTCCGGGGGGCTGACGCAGCCTGTGTCTATGAGCCGGCACCGGTCAGCCACAGCTGCGGGCCCGAGCAGAAGGCGGGGCCTGGCAGAGTGGGCGCCGTGAGCAGGAATTCCCAGGGGGCTCCTGAGGGACCCGGTCGGTCAGCGCAGCCGCAGCCAAGCCCTGTCTCGCCTGAGGGCTCGCACAGACGGGCAGGCAGGGCTGGCGTGGGCCTGCGAGCCTTGGGGTGTTCGTGCCCCCGACTGTCGGCTGTAGGATGACGAGACGCGTCAGCAGAGGGGCCCACTGGGGCTGAGAGGACGCTGGCTCCCCGGGGGCAGCCCTGACCCTCCTCGAAGGGGTGGCGTCAAGCCGCAGGCAGGCAGCACCCGTCTGCTGCGCTGGCAGGCTGGCGGTGGCACGGCCAGGGCGTCGGGCTGCACCCGCCACTGCCCTGTCCACCACCTCATGCAGAGCCCACCCAGGAACCGGCGCCCAGCCGTCTCGCCTCCGGCCTCGGGGCAGAGCCGGCTCCGGCCCCTTGAGTCCGACTGCCCTGTTTCCATGTACTTAGTTCTTTGCCTCTCGGGAGTGGACTTTCCAGTTTCCCTAGCATGACCCACGCCCTAGTTCTAGAACGCTCCTATCGCCCAAGAAACAGCGTCCTGTGTCCGCCAGCACCCCGCCCCCGTCCTTGACGCCGCTCGTCTGTGTCCTGGCCCGCCGGCCTGTCTGCCGCCTGCAGCGGGCACGCCCGGCCCTGTCCCCCCCACCCCTTCCAGGGCGGCCGCGGCTTCCTCGTTTTCACATCCGTGTCCTTGGGTGTTTGTAAGCAAAGTCTGAGATTTTGTTCGGATCCATTTATCCACTTTTTTCTTTCGCCGCTTACGCTCGGGTCATTTCTACACGTGCGTCGGCTTACCGCAGGTGGGCACATTTGAGCCTCTCCCAAAGGCGGCGTTTCGGCTGCCCACACCTGATGGGCGCTGGCTTCGACCACCGCGTCTCGGGCCCTTTTCCCAGCTGTCCGGCTGGGCACAGGAGGGAGACATGCGCTGTACCCCAGATCTTCCAGCAAGGACAGCTCGCTTAAGGTTAAGAGCGAGAAATGCAATGTGTGATGCCGAGGGCCAGCGGTGGCTCGGCCGCCGGTTGCCGCCGTCCTTTGCTGCCACGCTGTGCCCGGGGGCCCTTGTGCCTCGCAGCAGCTGTATGATTGTTTGGTCTCTTCCAGGACGTGTGCCACGACTGCCCTCCTGGGCCCCCAGGCCTCCCTGGGATGCCAGGCTTTAAAGGGGACAAAGGTCTCCAGGGAAAGCCGGGGAGAGAAGGCCCAGAAGGGAAAAAGGTGAGGAGAAAAGACGGAGGCTTTCTCGGGGCTGTGCAACGTGATGCAGTGCGTACCACGGAAGGCGATCGGACCCGGCCGCTCTGGGACGAGCGTGTCCTGCTCGGGGGTGTGAATGGGGGCAGGTCCCCTGGGCACTGGCCACCTCAGCAGTCCACACTGGCACCTCACGGGCTTGCCTGTGGGTGCACAGGGGTCTCCTGAGGCCACCGCCAGCCTCCGCCTTAGCCCAGACACTGGGGTGGGTGGGCGGGGCTTCCGCCGGGGGCAGTGAAATGTGTAAGCGCAGGGCTTGCTGGGCCTGGGCCTGGCTCCGGTCACTCATTCTTGTTTTTTCCTTTCTTCTCTCCCTGCTACAGGGAGATGCTGGGCCCAGAGGCCTCCCAGGGCCCCCAGGGATAGCTGGACCTCAGGTCAGTGAACCTTCGTAATGCGGTCTGTGCCCCTCAGCCTCGCGTCCACCAGCGCTGCATCTCAGGGTCAGCCCAGGTGTGAGGGAGGGTGATGCCGGGGTGAAGGAAGCAGGGCTGTAACATCAGCCCCCACATCGAGGGTCTCACCGTGGGTCTGACTGTCAGTGACCTTGCTCAGGGTCACTCCCACTGCTGATGTCAGGTTGCTCGTCTGCAAGGACATGAGTGGGCGACAGTGTGAAAGCGGCGGCAGGCCGGGTGCGTGGCTCTTCCAGGCCGAGGAGTGAGCTTTGGGGTCAGACAGTGCCGCTCCAGTCCGGCCCTGAGCAGTCTTGGGTCAATCCTGGCTCGCTCTGGCCTCCATTTTCATGCCTGACAAGAAGGAAAGAACACTGCAGAGATTCGTGAAGCTGAGCACCAGGATAGTCTGGCATTCAATTAAAAAGTCTTTCCCGAGAGCTCTACGCAGACGCAAGTGAGTGCTCTGACGCTCGAACTGTCCCCTCACCCCAGCCAGGGATGGCCCTGCGCTTCCTCAGCCAGGGAGCCCAGAGGAGCTGGCCGTTGGGTCTGGCCCTCGGGGCACGGGGACAGGCGGTGGCTGTTCGGGTCTGAGAGCGCGTTGCTGCGAGCGGATGCTGCCGAAGGCTGGGGTGTGGGCGTGGTGGAGAGGACTGAGCCCCAGCTATTCCGCTTCTGTGAGCAGAATCTGGGGTCTGGAGCTCTCTGAGAAGCGCAATAACGGAGGTTCTAAGCCCGCAAGTATGGAGTAAGAGCTGACTGCCTGGGTGGGCCGGCTGCTGCTGGGGAGCCAGGGAGCTGTGGTGCCTTTCACCCTGCGCCTCCCAGGGCGCCCGCCCCTTTTTCCGCGAGCCCCGCCCCACCGCGCTGGGGCCTGTGCTCTTGCTGGGCTCCCTGCGGCAGCCTAAAAGGTTTCTCGGTGGTGAAAGCCTTTTCTCATCTACGCGTGTACTGGGGCCTGGTGCCTTCCTCGGCAGCGGGTGGGAAGGCGACCTAAGCGTGCTGCGCCATCGGGAAGATGCAACTCTCTGCTGACTTGGTTGGCCTCAGCTGAGCACCACAGACTCCCCTGAGCTCATCGGACGCCCCTCTACCCCGCACGCTTCCCAACTCTTGTGCGCCGGGCGCTACCCAGGCTCCCGTGGGTGCCCCTGCCCCCTGGGCTGGGCTTCATGCTCCTCCCTGTGCCCCTGCGCCTCCCCCGGGACCCCCCAGCCTGCCCCTGCTGGAGGCACAGGCTAGGTCTCCACAGAGACAGCCAGGGGCCAGGCCCCAGGACAGGGACACTGCTCCCCTCTGACCTCAGGCTAATTTACCCCTCGGCCTTATTGCCCTCTGGTATTACAAACCGTCCCAGTGAACGTAGAGGTCAAACTGGCTTACCTGAGCCTGTCATGAATCGGGCAGCGCACCTTTCGGCGGGTGGGGAGGCTCCTCAGGACGGGGGATTTAGGTCGCAAAGAGAGAGGACAAGGGTGTGTGCAAAAGAAACTGATTATCCAGGCAAAGCACCACTGTGGGTGGCAGCTGGGTGACTTTGGGGGGACCGAAACTGTGCTTAGTGAGGTTTAAGTCTCGAGGGGCCCAGCGTGAATAACTCTGTTTTTCACCCGTTCCCCCGCTTCTTAACCAGTAAGACGGGGGATAAGAGAGGGGAGCTCCCGGCTCCGCGCTGGCCGGGGGTGCGTGTGCGCTCAGACTGTGCTGGTTCCTGTGCTCCTCCAGCGTCTGTGCCCACAGCCGGGCGCGAGTGCGGGCGAGACTGGGGGGCGTCAGAACCTCAGCAGCCAGAGTAAGACTAGTATTTCTAGAGTTAACTAAATACACATCTTTTCAAGGAAGACGAGGCTGTTGACTGGACTAAAGTTCTCACTGAGCAACAAAGTTCATGAGATCATCAAGGTGAGGACTTAGACCTGGGATGGGCTCGGGCAGAATTTACTGTGGGAGAGCTGAGCGATCCAGCCCACCTTTCGATTTCGCTAACATGGGTAGGATTAGCGAGCCCTTGACTTTAAAAATGCATTTCTTCCTGTCAGGGATGCTTCTGGTTCTAAGTTGTTTTGAACTGAAGCTGTGCTGCTCTCTCTCGGTGCAGAGGAAGGCGATGCTGGCGTGTAAGCTCTTCCTCCCTAAAAGTTGCACTGCGGAGATGCAAAGGCTGGGTGCTCATGCTGGGTGCTCATGTTTGAATCTTATGTATCCAGCTCCCCGGTCATTAGTGGTTGGAAAGGCTGTTACCTATAAAGCGTAAAACTTGCTTCACAGCTTCAGACTTCAAGTCCCTGCAGGCAGGTTGCTCCTTTGTCTGTAGAGCAGGAAGGGGGTTCCCAGAACCTACCCCTAACCTGCACACTTGGGTACCTGCTCCTAACCCCAGCTCTGTGTTTATCTGTATATTGGTATTTTAGGTAGCTTGCATTGATTTTGACTTTGGAAACTACGGCGCTGGGGAATAATTTACTTGGATACTGGGGTTTCTGGAGCCCTTTACATTTCCACTTTCCCTAACCTAGGAAAAATGGGGTTCAGAGTTTGACTGTGACTATTTAAAAGTAAGCAAGCAAGTACCAATAATTCACCTGCAGGGTTCCAGGATGGAAAACATCCAGTTCTCCCAGAGGCTGGCTGGCACGTTTTTGTCTGTGAACCTCATTAAGTCTTACGGGGTTTTTCCTTAAGCAAGACTTGCTTCAGGGATCACAGATAGCAGGTCTCAGTGTAGAGAATAACATAAAACTTTGCCTAGGTCAGCGCTAGGATGAGAAGCACCAGCAAAGTGTAGCATTGTGCTATTTCCCATGATGTTTCTTTTCTAATGTCATCAGCTCCATCCACTGCTCTCCCCACTGGGGGCTAACATGGGCTGATTTCAGCTGACCCTTAAGTAATTTTGACGTAAGTCATGTTACGGGCTGCTGGGCTTAGCCTGTGTTGAGGAATGGCCTTTACTCAGAGAAACAAAAACAAATAAATCAGATAGATAAAGGAGACCCCTGCTGAGTAGGGTCCTGTCCAACCCTATGTCCAGCACTTGGACTGCTGCTACTTTGGGATAAGCTCTGCCTCTGTTCCTTTAATTCATTTCAAGGGAGTGTTTGTTCCTAACCATATTCAGGAAGTGAAAGAATGACTCTATCCAGAAATAAAACAAAAGTTAGCATTTCATCCTAAAAGCTGGGTTCTTACCTTCGACCTTGAGAGTCCCTGTTGATTTTGGGGAATTTTCAGAGTTGGGATTCCACCCTATGTAATGAGCCCCCAACGGGTTGCATTGGTCAATGTACACTCTATAATAAGGCCCACAGGTTATAATAGCGGGCAGGTTACCTGTTTTAAAGTATCGTCTCCTGAATAGGTCAACATTGTCTCAGGCAGTAAAGCTTTGGCCCACTATACAGATGGGGAGACCAAAGTTTAGAAACAGTAAGTGATAGTATTACAAAACTATTAGTTGACATAGCCAAGGTGAATCCCTGCTAATCCAACTCCAAGACCCCCACTAATTGGTTCCCTATTATGCTATAGTCCATGTTGCTTAATAATGTACCGGTCCCACTTTACAGACCATCTTTCATATGGTAGTCAAAATAGGATCTTGCATGTAACCCAGCTGTGTAATGGGCTGTAGCATCTAGGTTTGTGTTATTAAAATTCACGATGTTTGCATGAATACATAATCACCTAAAGAGACATTTCTCAGTGTATTCGCTTTGTTAAGTGACCTGGTGACTGCACTAATAACTTTCCATGAACCCCAACACCAAGGAGAACGTATATGACTATACTTTTCAGTGCGATGAGCCCCAGCACCAAGGACAGTTCCCAGATGGGCGCAAGCCATTACTTCAGCACTAAGGACAGCTCCCAGCGGGCAAAGTGCCTCCCTCAGTCCACTGCCTCTGCTGATGTCCCTAGAATAGCTTCCCTTTAGCACCACTTATTACTGGGAACAGGAGTCACAGAGGAGTTAATTATCTTGCCTTGGTTCATGACTTCAAACCCAAGCCAGTCTCTGCTCTTAATTGTTCCCACACCAGTGCCCAGGAAACAGATGGAAGGGCTATTTCATTTCCTCCCTGTTGAACTTCACTTATCAGGTAGGATCTTTGCGAGACCTATGGGCTTGGAAGATGAATTTGTAAACTGAAATGTTACATGAGGCGGAGCACTGTGACCGTTGTTCCCACGCCTTTAAACCCTGAGGCTCCCATGCAGCACTAAGAGGGCTGGGTGTGCTTGTTTGCAGTTGTGATCCGGCATACAGGGAGTCAGCTGCCCCAAGGTTTATCTTGCAGATTTGCAGCGACTGTCTGGCAGCTGCACCTGGGAAGGTTAATGCCACTGTCAATTACAGAGTTCCATTCTAGAGCTTTCAGACTTCATAAAACTTGGCTTTAAAGGATAATTGACTGCTGTTATGACTTCAGTCCACACGGAGGAAGAAGAGGAGCAGACTGGTAACCAGAGAGGTGACCTTGGAAACACATTTTTCTGCAGAGTCAGAGTAAAAGTCTCTCCAGAATTGGAAATGCTATTAATAGATAATGCTGTTAGTCTAGCCTTCATAAAAAGCATTCAGTTTCCTTCTCATCTACATGTCCACCAACCATAATGTGGGAGCTGAAAACACTAAATGAGCAGAAGCCCCCACCGGGCAGGTTGTGGATGATTCTGGGAGGCAGAGAAAGGGATTGTGGCTATTGGCACGTCCAGACGAGGCCTTGGGCCCCAGCCTGTGCAGAAGGTAGCCCAGAATCATGCAGTCCATGTTCTCTGCATGAACACATGCCTCTGACTCCCCAGAGCTGCCTTCACCCTAAAGAATCTCACCCAGCAGCCCCTTAAAGAGCCCTTCCAAGCACAGCGCTAGGCCATGAAGGGCTGTGCCATCCCGGGCCTGCTGATGCGCCGGAGAGAAAGATCTACCGGCACCTGGTTCTTGAAAGTCAGGCTGCGGTGGGGAAATGGAGCGCTGCGGTGAGGCTTTGGACGGCAGACTGCGATCCGCCGTGTCTCTTATTATCCAGGCAGACTTCACTTACTAATTGGGCGATTGTGTTTGAATTCTCTGAACCTCAGAGGTCGTGTGAAGATTACCAAGGAGACATTTACAGAGAGCAGGCCCGGGCCCGCCATGAGAAATGTTGACCTCGTGAATCTGTGGGTGGGCCCCTCCATCACTGCTCTGTGAGTGGGGGGGTGACAGACACCAGGAGGGCCACACCAGGGGCTGAGGGCCACCTGGGCAGGCTGCTGAGGCGGTCGGGCTGTCCTTGCCTCGGAAGGGTTGAGGCGGGTAGGGGTCTCACAGCCCTCTGGCTGCTTCTCAGGTGAACAATCAAGAGCACCAGAAAAAAATCAGTTTAATAACATGCGTAGAGGATCTACATGTTGTAATTTCAAAGAATAGTGGCGTGAACCAGGGGTATTGATCCTGGGTAAGAGCCTGGGGTGTCGAGGGTGGGGAGACACTTCATATGACAAACAAGTCCTGTCTAGCAGGAGGACCTCATCCTTATTCTAAAAGTGAAGAAGAGATTCCCAGGCAGAGAGGAAATGTCCACTGATAGGCCCACACCCAGATGAGGACCCCAACCCTGCTGCTAGGCCACCAGGGGCCAGTGACTGACCAGCAGGAGGAAGGGATGAGGGGCAGGAAGCTCCTCGGGTCTTCACTGCCCTTAAAGTAATCTGCATCTTCACGTGGTGAAACACTTGCGTGGGCTCGCGGTTGTTCTCTGACTTTAATCATATCAAGAGGATCCTTCTTGGAACAGACTTGTTCTGGGCAGTCTGACTTTTGGGGAGACCAGCCCCATGGAAATTTAGGCAGAGATTCACCTGCACCCTTCTCCCAGCACCCCTGGGCGAGGTTTTCTAGGTAGAGAATCAGCAGGCAGAGCTTCAGGGACAAGGCTTCGCTGAGAACAGGAGACCCTCACTCATCTGAGGAAGTTTAGGCCCTGCCTGCAACAGCTTAGAAAGCCCTCGCGAGAACTACCCACTGCTGGACTCACAAAGGCCAGCGTCCATCAAGAAGTCCCTGATCTGGACGTGGCCGCCACATAATCAACCCACAGGGCAGGGAAGAAGGAGGCCCCAGTGATATCAAACCAGCATTAAACCACCAAGCGCCGCGCAGACGGCCTTCCGCTCTGGCTGCAGAGACCTCCCACCCACCCTCTCCCGGCCCGGCAGCGAGGTTCTCTGCACCAGGTCCTCATGGCAGAGCGTGCTCAGGGGATTGTGGCCCGTCCCGCCCCAAGCTCATTCTCAGCACCAGGTGACGGCAGTGGGCCGCAGTGTTCAGGGACCAGCAAGCTGCTCACCCCTTTGTGATGGGGTGTGACTTAGACTCCAGTGCTCCCGTAAGTCAGTCTCCCACTTTCCTACTGGAGATGGAGGTGCTGTCTTCATTGATGGTTAGACTTCAGAGAGACGCCCAGGCCCGTCAGAAAGACACCCCAATCCTGGACTGCAAAGGGCTTTGCTGACCTCTAAACGGACTTGCCTACATTTCAGAGACAGCTAATCCACATGGACAAGTTTTCCCAAGTAAACATTCGAGGAGAAGGGATTGGGGAGAGAATACCTTCCCCTCAGGCGGCGGGTTTGACTCGCTGTTGGTGGGTTGCTGTGGCCCTGAGTGCTTGGAAGGTTCCCAGAGCTGGGCAGACCCCTGGGCTGCAACTTCACTGCTGTTGACGTGAAACCAGCGGGGGGCTCATCGTGCCCAGGGAAAGAGCTGGACCATAAGCCAGGTAGGGAGCGGCCCTGCGGACACAGGTGACCTGAACTGCTTTCTACTAGCTGTGTGACTGCAGGCGAGCAGCTTCACCTCTCTGGTCTTCAGATTTTGTCCGTGTGTGTGGGTGTGTGGGTGAGTGTGGGTGTGTGCCTGTGTGGCCTCAGTTTGAAGACACAAAGAAGTACACGGGACAGGAGCTTCGGAGTGGCCTGCTGGTGCCGGCAGCCCACAGCCCGCGGCTCTGGAAACGTCCGTCCCTTCTGGAAGGAAGTGCATGGGCCGAGCGGCCGTATTTGCTTGGATCCGGGCTGCAGCTGAGAGGGAGACAGGTCAGCTGCCACGGCCCTGAGCCACTGACATTTTCACTGTTGTGAGATGAGGAGGAAACCAGCCTGAGCTCAGAGTGAGGCTGGGATTCCGGGCGCCCCGCCCCCGTGTCTGGGCGCCTCTGTCCGCCGCCTCCCCGGGTGTCTCCCACGATGGCCCTGGCGCTGCCGGGTCACTGCTCAGACTGCCTCTGTGCCCCGGGCCCCTCCTCACATCTCTGCGCGTGTCCTGCCGCCTCTGACCCGTCACCCTGGGCTCCAGGCGACTCTCAGCGCGGGCGCCAGCCGGCGTCTGGCGGCTTCCTCGCCCACCGCCCACG